TCATGAGGTCCTACTGTGACCAAGCCTGTAATGACCGTCTTCCTGCCCCTTCCAGATATTTTACAGGGCAACTTTAAACCAGACTACTATTTGAAACACATTCAGAAGGACCTAAGGCTAGCCATCTCCATGGGCGACATGGCCAACCATCCAACCCCGATGGCTGCAGCTGCCAACGAGGTACATCTCTCATAGCTTTCTCCTCTTTCTGTAATTCTTTGTGGTAAAACTTTTCTTTGAAGTGTTTCCTGCTCATGTTGTTTGTCCTCTAACATGTGAACCTCGGGGCAGCAGCAACGTTTAGTCTCCGTTGTCCAGCCGCTGTTTTCTGTTTTGCAGGTTTATAAGCGGGCCAAGGCACTGGACCAGTCGGACAATGACATTTCAGCAGTTTACAGAGCCTACATTCACTAGAGCGAGGCGTGGCCCGGCCTGTGGACCGCACAGTCTTCGATCCCTCCTTTTCTCCCTTTGTCATTAAAGGTTTTTTGTTTTTAATTTGAAACTTTTATTTAATTTTTCACCCCAGTGCCAGCCGCGTTACCTGCCCGCAATTCCGGGACTGTAATTCCGTGTTTTAGAGGCAACATTAAGCATTGCACTGACTGTACTGTGGGAATTTTATGCTGTAAGAGAGCCAGGAACGAGGCTGAGCTGCTGCAGTTTGCCTCGTTCCTGACACCGTTGTTATAAAGCAGTATGAGTAATGCTGGGCGCTACTGTGAAGCTAAACAAATTGCCATGTGGCATCAGAACCGTAACATATTTGAGTTTTCCCCCTTTTGTTTAATTATCTGCTCCAGAAACCCATGAGAGTAAGCAACAGAACATGCCACTGCATTGCCTTAATATTGTAACCCCTCGGGTCCTTCGATAATACACGTATTTATTTATGCCTCTTTTAAGGTCTTCTTTGTGCAGTCGGCTTCTTCCCGTGTGTAACCACAGACTTTAGGCTTTTCCATTAGTGTGATTTTGTTTGAAACAGGTGGAGGACAAAGCTGCAGATGTGCTGAGGCCTTAAAATGCAGATGTTTCTCCTCACGGTTTGAGATTTCCACTTTTGAAACGCTTCGACCTTTCTCTTGGAAGACTTTGTGCTTTTCCTCTTTAACTATATGAACCTAGATCAATCCCGTTTGAGCTGACAGCTCAGTGTTGAATCATTATTAGGCGCTAGCATTAGAGCCAAGCTAAGGCCAGAGTGACACTTAAACTGTGGGCCCTGGCTGTAAACGTGGGCTGACTTTAGTCAAAGCAGACCAACACACAGGTCGTTTTAGACACTATTTGTTACATGACTGTTCACTCAGTCTGAGTCTCAATGCGTGATATTGATTTGGTCGGCTGGCCTCAATAAAATTACGAGCAAACAAAGTGGGCGGAGGTTTGGCTGTAAAGGTCATCGCAGGCTAACACAACACTGATCAGTGAGGTCTGTGGCCCAGCTGGTGACACATGATCATTAAAATGAAATCCCAAAGAGATGGTGGAGGTCTCAGTTATAGTAGTTTATCTACAATATGTTACTGGGTGTTTCATTATTTAATGTTTGGACTCTTTGTGATTGCAGCGTTGGCTGTGTGTGTTGGCCCTGACAGGCTGCAGCCACCCAGATAAAGACGATTAGTGAGGTGAGGGAACAACACGGCCCAACACTATGAATCCAGTCACAGGCCCCGTGGGCCAAGCTTTGACTTCCCAACATGAAGCCAACTCACTGGTGTCCTCACAGGGCTTAGTGATTTTAGTCTTATTGGTGCCCATGAAGACCTCTGCTATGTAGAATCAAACGTACCTGCTATCAGTAGATAGCGTACAAATGTGGCACAGCAGTGAGGTTTTCTTCTTCTCTGCTTCAACTCAAAGATGCGACATCTTCTCAGACTTACAGGGCACGGTCAACCAAGGGGCTTATTCTGATACTTTAGGGTGTCGGCAGTGTCGTGTTTGAAGTCGTTAGTCCAAGTTTATTCTGTCCCATATGGTCAGGAAGTGCTGCGGCAGGCCTACAAACATGTGAGGGTCATTTTTATTTTCAGATTGAACATTGAAACCAAATGGCTTTTGAAAACGTGCGTCTGCACCACCAGGTTGGTCGACTGTATCTTATCCAGTATGACATGAAGAAACCAAAACGGGCCGATCACCCACCAGTTCATGGTTTTATCATCGGAGGCTACACGTTTGTCGAAACGTAGTCACCAAGCGATCTGTGAGAAGCATTTTGTTAGCCAAGGTTGAGTTTTTAATTTTGGTTTGTCAGACACGCTCCAGACTTCAAAGAGCTGTTTTTAGAAGATGTAAATAGCACATTAGGATAAGTAGGGTTCCTTTTCTATCTGCGGTAATCAGGATTAATGAAGAAGCTACTTTTGGTTTTGACTCTACAGTGCGAATGTCTAACATCTGTGTCTTAATACTGTAGATTGCTCAGTTCAAATGTAAATGGTTTATAAATATATGGCTTATATAATCTGGCTTATTGTGATGGAATAATGACTGGGATCCCATTGATGCAAGGTGGGAGGAACTTTGGGGCTATTTATGATTTTGTGTACATGTGAAAATATCAAGACTTTTGTGCTGTTTAATAAATCCTAAACTCCTAATTGCTGATGTGTACGTGTGCACTGTTTATCTCCTGCTAGTAATATCACACTGTTCATTTGAATATGCTTTGAGCAGTCTGTGAGGCCGGAAAGCACAGCTAATGTTTATGACCACAGTGTGACATCGCTGGATGGTAGGGTAACACACTGTGTCACTAGTGATGTTCGATTCGTGGACGAATCGTTCAATACTCAAGAATCACTTTACTGACTCGTGAATCATGATTCACAAGCCCAACTGACTCA